ATGACAACCAGGCCCAAATTCATCAAATTTCGATCCAATCAAATTTTATAAAATTTTTATTTTTTAAATTAAATTTTAAGTTAGATCAAATATTTTTATAAAAAAAATTAAGATTGAGTTTCAGATAAATCTCTGACCTATTATATATATATATATATATATATATATTATTTATTTAATTTTATATTTATATATATTATATTAATAAAATTATTATTTAATATTTTAATTTAAAATATTAACTTAATAAAATTATTATATTTATATTTAATTAAAATTTTTTATATTAAAAATTAATATTTTCTGAATAATAATTTAATTAAAATTATTAAATTAATTTCAATCGAATAAGGATGATTATGATTTTATATATATATAGATCGAGTTAGATATAAAAAAATATATTTTAATGTCGGTCCAAAACCAAGCATATGTTTTATGAAGTTTGATCAACTTCAGGGTGAGAAAAAGTCTATCGCAATCTAACCCATTGCCGTCATTAAGATCAAACCTTTAAACAAAAAAAAATACATGATAAGATTAAAACCTACACCTACTTACCTTCTTTAGAGCCTCTTAACTTTGAACCATGAGGCGAAAAGCCTACACTTTACATATTAATGCTCGATGATGGGCACTTCAAATATCAGTCCTACCAAGCCTACTTCCCGAAACTAGTTGTAAAAGTGCCCATTAAACCATGGTCCAATTTAGGCCAAGCTCAGCCCAACAAATCAAAACCTAAATTGAGCCCTCTTGAATTGGCATGCCTCCAGAACAAGAAACGAAAAACGGAAAGCAAAAACTGTTTGTTGTAAAAGACACTTGCAATCTAACGTAAATGTCGTTTTTATTGTTTTGTGTTCGGGTGAAAAAAGGCGGGTGCTGCATTCGATTCTTGCTTGGAAAAGCAATCGGGCAAGAAACCCACTGAAATCGCTTCCGTGGGTCTCATATACCGCACTGAATGCAAACGCTACAGTAATGAATACTTTGAGAATTGCCGCGCTTCTCGGGTAACTAATTACTATCTAATCTTAATTATTTAACCACAAATTTTGTGTCTTTTTTCCCTGTTTTTGATTTTGGGCCGCATTTCGGTTTGGGTTGTGTGTAGGTGATTCATTTTGATTGGCTGTATTGTAAGACCAAGAGAACGCAGAGGTTGCTTGATGATACGGAAACGAGGAGAGGTCCGTTGTCACTTCCACAGCCTTACACTTTCAAGCACCCAACCTCTACTTGATTGCTTGTTGAAGCTTTTAGACTGTTAGGGGCTTCTTTAGTTTCTTGAATACCTTTTATTATTATTATTATTTTGTTGAAATTGCAGTTATGCAGTGTTTAGGAATACAATCACATAAATGCTTATTTGTTTTGATAGGAAATTGGATATCTGGTAATTGGTAAAGAAATTATATAGGCTTTTGAATTTGCCTTATAATTGCCTTTTGGTTCTATAATGTTATTTCTGGTATGATTTCATGCTGGTTTTTTTTCATATTGACTCAATGCTTCTTAGGGATGCTTATTCTAAGTTATGATTTGATGATTTCTTGTATTCTATCTGTTATTGGATTCAGACATTCCTAAGAAGATATGTCTGTATAAGGTTTAAACTTGGTTGTACTTTTCTCAACTTTTAGTTTTTTCTTATCCATTTCTTTGTGGTTCTAATCATCCATAATCCAGGATGTAACTCAAGTGTGATGATGAATGAACATTTTATGCCAGTTATCAGCTTTCCATGTTATCCCATTTAAGCTTTGTTGAGTCATTGACTACATTGATATGTTTGTACTATAAATATTTGGTTGACTTAATCCTCTTCCCATTTAAATGTGTACACTGAGACTCATTTCTTTCTACATTTTCGTTCCATTTTCATTCCTGTTCATAATTCTTTTTTGGAGTCAGAGCTACGCATTGTCAACAATCGTTACTCTTCAGTTTCCTTTTCTAAATTTAGACTATCTTGCATCACTTTGTTCCTTTCCTTATTGTAACTCGCACTCTTAAGCATATTTCCCTGCATGCCCTATGTGCTTCCATCTTTTGCTTTGAGTCCTTCTCCAATTCATTTGCCATCAAGTTGCTCATCATTGTTTCTCCTATATCATCGACCATGATTACAACCTATCAACTTGACGATAAATAGACCTAGCAATCTAAAACACCACATGATGATATGATACGAAAACAATATGAATAAAGAATAAAATATACGAAAGTGACATGGTTTAAAATTTTAGCAAAAATCATATATAAGTTTAACAAAATAAAAACAAAAAAAGTGTTTCATGTTTTTGTGTCTATATGAATTATAATACATAATTTTTGAATAAAATATAACATGAATATATAAATTATCAATATTTTACACTAACGAATACACGAATTAACAAATCTAATGTTAACTGGAAATGTTTTGCTGTTTATATGAAACTCTATTCGAGATTTACTTAGCTTTTGAACTCGTAAATATTGCTGTCGGATCTGCTGCAAAGCCGTGGCAAGATTTTGTAAGCCAGCATTAGTCTGTAGTAATAGTTGAATTTTCTCTTATAATACTTTACCTCTATACTTAAAGAAAAGCATGAGGCATATCATTAGTTCGAGCAGTTTACTTTCATATAGCAGATAGGTGTAACTCTTTTATTTATATCTTCTGCTCGTGTATTCATTCAATCCAATTGAAATCCGTATCTGATTTACAATGGAGTTGGTCTTATGATATCTTTGACTGCCAATTTGCTTCCTTTCATCATTATGCAGTATGAAGCTTTATTTTGGCTTCAACAAGGTGTTGATTTATTGCTCAAATATAGTTTTTATAGAGTTTAATCGAGTTGAAAACATGTACCTATTATCATGTAAATACTCTCTAGACATCACAAATTGCATAAAATGTTTATGAGGAAAGTGTTTTTTGGAAAAAATGATGATATTCTGAGACAGTAATAAATAGTTTAAACTATTGATATACTTGTTGAAGAATACAACTGCTTTTGAATTAACTTACCAAGTTGTTTAATTTTATTTTTTTTTTTAATTTATCCTTGAATTGTTACTCTGCGAAAATGAATGAAAGTATTTTTAACTTTTTTAAGCTTAATACTTCTATAATATTCATTGACACTGAGTACGTTCTATTTCTCTTAATACTCATGAGTCTTTGGATGTATAATTATTAGATATTAATTAATCTGTTAAAATTGAGTTCAGATTAGTTGCCACATCTTCATCTCTTTTAAATTCCTCTTTTCTTCTCCTCCTATTCTCATTGCAAAATATATTATCAACAGATTATTGCTAATGTTGCTGGGTGATGATAAGTCAATGTGAAGAAGCTGTAGGTAATCAGTGTACTCTGAACTCTACCACCCATTAATCTAACTAATTTGAGAATGTTTGAGGGATGCCTCCAGCTGTGCAAAACTGGGTTATCTACCATTTTGTTTAAAGATAGGCATATTTCTCTACTGTGTTGTGAAGTAGTAATAATATAGAACCGACCTGTTGAATTTTGTTGGATACACTTACCTTCTAGGCAATTTTGCAACCAAGGTCGATCTCTTGCTTGTGCGGGTTATATATTTCTTGATTTTTGTTCTTTGGGTGGCAAAGTTGTTTCATGTTGCCATTAACTGTAAGCCTGCTGGGAGAATTGGATGTTCTCCATTTTGATTTCACAAATGTTGGTTACAAAGACAATGGTATGCCACAGTATTTTGATAATCATCTGTACCTTGTCAATTTGTCCCCTAACCTTATGACCATCCATCGTACCGTTCTTGAGGGATGAGAAACATTCAATGAAATATTTGTTTATCAGGCTTCAGAAATATAAGTAGCGATTTTCACAGTTGATAGCGAACCTATTAATTTTTTCATTTAGCCAATAGCCTATTCAACACTCCTTAGTTGCTGCCCACTTCTTCCTTTTTTCTCAAAATCTTTTCTTCGTCAAACTTATACATAATTACAAGTTTCTGGCCTTGATTTTTCTTGACCTAACAATCCTATTTAATTACTGTTATTTGCTTTTTATAAAGAGATGCACTTATTAAATCTTCTTCCTTCCCTCTTTGCGTCCGACAAACAGAAAACATCGTCTTCCGCCCTCGGAATACTTTCAAAAACAAATTTGTAGTATTAATTAGTATTTGTTATCGAATATTGAAGATGGAGCAGAAGACAATTTTTTGACCAAGAAGTCATGGTTTTTTTTTTTTTTTTTTTGGGGGGGGGGGGGTGTGGAAGGAAAGATTTTTGTCGAATTTTTGTGAAGGGATCAGAATCAGATGTAAGATGACGGATTAGACGAAAGCCACCAAAGTGGTCAACGCATTTGACGTTATCAAAGACTCCAAGGAGCCATAGATCAAATTATTTATCTCCTTGTTTTGCTTTAGAACAACAAAAAGAATGAATGGACCCTCAAGTTTTTCCAATGGCATCTTAGTCAGTAAACCTATTCAAATCCAATGGTTATAATTGTCTAAGTATAACCTCAGTTTTTAGTTCTTATTTTATAAGAATGTGGGAGAACACTGGGTCTCCCTCCCACACCCTCAACTCTAGAAGTACAAAATAAAACAATGGCATTATTATGTATAACATTTCCAAAAAAAAAAAGAAAAAGAAGTGTAAAGGTTGTACAACCAGATAGGATCATCATCTCTATTTATTAATTTGTTATCTGCCTTTATAAAATGTATTATTATTCAATTATTTTAATTGGAGACAAACTAAAGCAACACGCCGTTGACTTTGTAAGCTAATTCACATTCCTTTAATTCAGACATCGATTGCTTAATGTTATGTAACGAAAACACAAAGTTCAAATAAGAGGGTTGAAAAAAATAAGTAGATTGAAAAGTAATGAAAGCTGCCACTTCTTTTCAGATAAAGCTCCCAATGTCATCCATAACAATTCCGTAATTATTTAAAGTACTTAATCCTCTATTAATTAATTTAATTAATATCAGTACCATCATCACAGCTCGTATATTAAAAAAATTAAATACCCTTCATACATTGGACAGCCAAAACTGAAATTAAAATATATATATATATAAAATAAAGTATGAACCAACCAAAAACAAACAAAAAATAAAAAGGAGATTGAAGTACAAAGAACCTAAACCAATAATAATAATAATAATAATAAAGTTGTGGGGAATGGATTGATCTTCTTCTTGTCTGTTGTTGTTTATGTTGGTGTTGGTGTTGGAGTAGGTGAAATTAGCTTTAGGCTTTTGCCAAAGTATACGTAAATACGGCGTCGTTGAGAAATTTAAAAAAAAAAAGAAAGAAAGAAAGAGAAGCCACCTTATTATCATGCTTAACCGGCCGTTGAATTCCCTCCCAAAATCATTCTTTCCTTTTCATTAACCTTTTCTTCATATTTTTTATTAAAAAAAAAAGGCTAAAAGTCAGTCAACGCCATTATCACGGCTTAGAAACGGAGGCAGCATCTTTAACGGAGCCATCAACACCGCCGTTACCCATTGTGGCTGATTGGACAGTCAACACGGACATGCTAGGCGAGGAAGACCCTTCGCCGCTTGATTGAAGTAACGGGTGGTTGCTGCTGCCGTTATTTTGGTTTGCATTGTTGATCATAGGATTCCTGGATTGACATGTGACAGTTGAGATGGCAGTGGCGAGTGAGATTGGCATGAGGCAAAGGCCCTTCCCTTGTAGGTACTGCATGGCCGAGCCCATGTCTTCTTCCATTAGCTTGGCAACTTGTTGCTCCGTCACCGTTAGGCTGTCGTTACTTGACGACGTATGGTTGCCGTTAGAATTTCGTGGAAGAGACCCACCATCGGTACTCATTTGGATAAAATCACCACCTCCCTACAAAGACGAAAAAGCATTGTACTCTTTTTTGATTACTACAGAAGAATAAAATTTTTTTAAAAAAAGTTTGAGACAGAATGAGTAAGGAATCTATGAAAGTGGGAACACGCGTGCTATTTTGTTTTGTCGTTTGTGGTGTGATTAAGGAATGGTCAGATTTGAGCAGTGATTTTAACAAGACAAGAAGCCTTTTATGCTTACATTTTTTCATAAAATCACATGTAATAGTTTTCTCATTCCTTTGTTTCTTTTCATGGAAACCAACTAACTGAATTTTTCTTTATGTTTCTGTTTTTACTTTTTTTTTTTCTTGGCTAAATGAACAAAAAATGCCAATTTTTTTATTAACAAAATAGAGAGAAAAATGACCACAATTTTGTTTAGTAAATGTTAAAACAAAGCTTAAAATTGTATCTAAACTAAAATGGTGATGGTTTGGACTTTGAAGTTACCTCGGAGGGAATATGAGCAACAAGGGGAGCAACAGCAGCAGCACCGCCCAATCTGCTCATACTCAGAACCTGTATTTGCAGGAAAAAGCAGAAAGGGAGAGCAAAGGAATTTTAATTTCGGAAGGCCCATACAACTGGATTTAATAACAAATGATTTATTTATATATAAATAAAATCATCTTAAAAACAAAGTCAACCAGGAAAGGGAATCCTTTATGATGTTGTTAATTAATTATTAAAAAAAAGGCTTTTTTAAGTAATATTAACAGAATAGAAGAAAAGATTCAGGGATAGAAAGAGGGTACCTTGACTTGGAGCTGGAGGAATTTGACATAGTCGATGATCTCATCAAGCATTGAGGCCTTGTCTGTCTGTCATTAACCCCGAATCCCCCCCACAGATCACTACACTAATTAATCCATTAGCTGAACTACCAAAAAAAACATAAACCTATATGCTAACACGGATTAATTATTTTTCCCATATAAACAAACCCTAATTTTTTTAATTAAATTATTATTATTAAAGATATGATCAAGCTTAATAAAAATCTCGATACATTCGGTTGCTAACTGCTCTCTTGCTGGAGTACGGTTCGGGACCAACTTATATCACTTTCAGAGCAACATTAAAGCCACTGAATTGTGACCAATAATTGAACATACTATCGACACCTGTCCGTATTTTGGTGATTAAGAGTAACCTAACATTGACCGGCGACTTATAGAGTTTCCAGCTGGAGACCGAAGCTTTTCAAGCTTCCAGTTCAAATGAAAATGGTGAAAGCTAAGCTTGACAATCGGGGAATTCGTGTTAATTATTATAGATTTTCTTTATTTTTTGTAAAAAGGAAAAAAGAAGTTTACCTTGTTGGCATTAGGAACCAGTTCCTGAAGGGCTTTCATTCGCTCTGCAATTCTCTCTCTGCGTAACTGCCAGACACATCATTTCAGAATACGGATCGAATAAAATCATTTTTGAGCTTCCTTTGCTTGGCACTACGTACCCCCAAAACTTAACAAAATGAACAAAGAAGAGTTCTCTTACTCTTTCAGCGATACTGTGGGGATCAGTAGCTTGACCCCTCCTAGCCCTAACTCTTTGTTTAGGTTGAGCCGCGGTACCCCCGGTTATCGAACCACTTGCCTGACTTTGCTTTATCACTGTTCCTGCAATAGCTCCAAAGTTTTGTGCCTGCATAGTCCCTCCCTGAGACAATTAATAAAGCACTCGTAAGTATTTCTCCATTAATGTTTTGTAAATACTAAATTCAAATTTGTAGGCTCGTTGTGTTTTTTTTTTTTTTTTTGTATAAAAAATAAAGAGAAAACAAGAAGTGCCTGAGGATGGTTCAAATGCTGAGGCCGGTTCGATGACTGATTAGTCCCATGCAGAGATCCACCACCAAAACCATTATACAAAGCTTGCACAGAACCCTCTCCTCCCTGGAAAAGAAAAAAAAAAAAACACAATTTAATCACTCATTATTACATCTATATATCAATAGACTACCCAAAAAGGAAGCCAAGAGCACTGAAAACTGACGTGATCCTGATTATTGGGGGATTTAAAGGAAGATCCATCAACGATGTCGTTGTGATGAGACCCAGCAGCACCACTCCCCAAAGATAAGGGCATGGTCAACCCTCCTCCTACTCCTCTACCAAAGGCGGTCGCTCTTCCTTCTAACATCATCTGCTGCTGCATCATCATCTTCATAGCTGCAGTAGCAGGAGAAGACCCTCCTCCGCCGTTTATTTGATGTTGTCTAAGCTTGGTAGCTAGAATCTCATCGTAGTGGAACCCAACATTGTTGTCTGGATTAGGGGGACACGTTTCATCAGATTTAGTTGGGTTCCAAGGTGACTTGAGGTCAGACAATGAGCAAGAAGGTAGCGTGGAGAGCATCTGTTCTAAGAAGTCATCGTGGGAAGATGTGGGATCGAAGTGTGGGTTTTGGATCTGTTGGTGGCTATTGCTGTTTCCGTTGCTTTGAAGGTCATGGAGAGGGATTTGTTGAGTTGGGTTTAGAAGAGAGTTGATTGCTTGCATTTCCCGGCTACAAGGCTGCATATTTCTCAAAAAAGGGTAGGGGGGTGTGGGGAGAAGAGAGTTAGATAGGATAGAGTTTGGTGGAAGTGTATATCATTGTTTATGATTTAGAGAGATGGAAACTGAGAAAATAGGAAGCATGAGAGGGTTATGGGTTCGAATGGTTTTGATTTTTGCTTTCTTTTTGTTGCAGAAGAGTGAAGATGAACGGACGAGACTATTTGTTTTTCTTTGGGTTTGGATTTATTAAATATAGGAAAGGGGGGAGAGCTAGCTCTGTTTGGGGAGTTTGCTCCAATCCTTCATCATCATCCCTCTGTAAGCTTTAAGGTAATTAGCGAGTAGCCATTCGTTTGTCCAACGACCCACTGCCAGCGCGTGGACTCACTTTCACGTACTTAGAACTTCAGTGTTTATTTTTTAAATTTCAAACACTAAAAGCCCATCTAGATGAATGATAAAATTGATTTTTTTTTATTGAAAAAAATGTGTTGATGAACCTAATCATTGTAGCATTGAGATGTGATATTAGATGATGCGTGTTTATATATAAATGTATGGATGACTATTAGATGAAATATGATGAAAAGAGATAATAATAATTAAAAAATTAGATTAAATTTTATATATAATAAAATATATAATATATATTTAATATTAGTGAAATTAATAAATAATTAAACATTATCAAAGTTATTTTATATGTCATAATGATTTTGTTTGAGAACTCGATTGTTCGATAATTTTAAAACAAAATAAGTTGATATCAATTTTTTAAAGTTAAATGTGATTGATTATTTAAGAAAACTTACTTTTTAAATAAAACTCTAAAATTAATTCATATTTATCAAAAAAAAATTTTGCTAAAATAATTTGAATTCAAAAATACGATTATACGTGAAAAAGATTAACACCTTACAATATTTGTTTAAAAAATTAAACCAATTAGTTATGTATTATCTTTTAATTCTAATAAAAAGATTTTAATTTTTATGTTTAAAAATAATTTTTTTAACTTCTTTTATTTTCATATTTTTTTAACTAGCTTTATTTCATCCATTTTTAAAATTTCTTAAAAAAGATTCACTGTTATTTTTTATTGAAAAATAAATTAGAACCTTGTTTGTTGAAAAATTCTCAAAATATTCTAATATTTTAATAACATTAGAAGATATTCTCTTGTCTAAAGATTTATTAAGAATCACTATTCGAATATTTTTACAATTTCATCTTTGGAAGTTCAAGTTTATTTTTATAATTAAAGCATGTGCATGAGATACAAATAATAAAACATGATATTCATTCATTGATCCATATGTAACTTTATTCTTTTAGAAAACAAAATCCTTTTCTTTTTTTTTAAATTAAAACAAAATCGATAAGTAAATGGAAATATTTTTTTATTGAATATTTTTTTGAATACCTCTATATTTTGATAGTATTTTAGAAAAATACCCTAACTTAAAGATTTTAAAGCAATCACTATTTGAATTTTCTTGCTATCTCATCATTAAAATGATTTTCAATTATTATTATTTTTATTAATTTCAAAATCCCTTCAAATTAAATAATTTTTTAAAAATTACATTTTAAATATTCAAGTGAGCAAGTAAACTAATTAAAGTGAATAAATAAGGAAAAACTAAAAGATAAAAATTTACCAAAACTGGTCGATCAATGACTAATCAACATTAGCCAATAGAAAGTCATCATAGATTAACAGATCCAATCAAATGGGTTAGACGCAATTGCGTACACGCGTGGATCCATTCTTTATTTTCATTTTTTTCTCCTAAACATTGATTTTTAGCACCTTGTATAAATTTTGAAGTTTTTTAATTTCATTTTTTACTCTTTTTTTTCGTCTATTTCATTATCTTTCAAAAGCTCTCTCATTTCTCTCTAACATAGTAAGTGATAGCCTCCCTCAAACCTAAAATTTGGTGGTCAGACCACCCTATTAGCCATTATCCATTTTTGCTAATTGTTGCTTTCCTACGTATGTTTGCTTCCAAAGCTCACCAAGATAAGCTCCCTTTCTCATTTTCTCGTTTTTCAAATTAGTTTTTCCAAAAACAACCTAGATCTTGCTTGATCTGAACATAAGATTCGTAGTTTCCTACTTATTTTTCGTTGTTCCCACCATCCAAACACCTTGAGCTTCCACTATGTCTTCCTTTTTCATTTGGCCTTCTTTTCCTCCCTTAAACCCCTTTAACTTGAAATACCCATTTTTTTCATGCTTTGTAACTTTTGATTTTTTTAAAAATTTTTTTATGGCTTTCATGTTGGGGATGTGGTTGATTTTTCTTTTTTTTTTTTTTTCTTGGTCTCAAGTAAATAAGAATAGCTATGGTAGAAATGACAATGTACATTAAAAGAAGAAGTGGGAAATGAAAAAAAAAGGATATGATATGTAAACACCTAATTTTATCCAAATTGATCGAAATGGTTCCAAATCACATTCAAACATTTTGGTCATGTTAATTAAGGCTAATTATAATCATTAAAAAATTAAAATTAAAGTAAATTAAAATAATAATAATAAAATCAAAATAGTCAAAAAGTTAAAATTTTTTGTTCAAACACTAGCAGCTTGAGTTTTCTCCCCTTATCCCAAAGTCATAGTGCATTCAATACACCGAAAATGTCCATCAAAATTCCAACACCACTTGTCACTGCCAAACTTTTACAATAAGATTTTAGGCAACTCGAAAAAGTCCATAACAATCTTAGAAAATCTGGGATCTGATTTTCAAATAAGCTCTATAAATTGAGCTCTTCTAACATTTTAAAGGGAGAATCCAGGGAAAAAAATCCTAAAAAAAAACCTTGTCAAACCAAAAGAAAAAAAAAATTTTGCAAATCAAAACTCACTGCTAAAGTTTTTTAAACTCCTTTTAAATTTTTCACCATAAAAAAAAAAAAAAACACATATCCTTTGGGATGGGGAATAAAAAGTCGAAAGCATAAAAAAATAAAAAAATTACCTGAAACTTTCAAGCTTGATCTATGCTATTTGAGGCCACTTTCAGCAAAATGAAGGCCAAATTTGTGTTCAAAGGGTTGAAAATAGCAAGGGGTAAATTTTTGAAAATTTTTTGACCACTAAAAATAGTTACCGGCTCCAACGACGGCATAAGAGGCAACGACAACAAAAGCTATAGGTGATTTAGGTTTTAAAAAAAGATAAAGGTATAGAGAGTGTGTGTGGAGAGAAAATGAAATAGAAAAAAACTATGGCTCTTATAGTTGTAAAAAACAAAAAAAAATAAAACGATGTCGTTTTAAGGGAATGATTCACTCACCAACTTGCAACGTGACTCAGAATCCATGCAACAAACACGAAAACCTATCCCTTTTGGCTCAAATTGCGACAAACTACACTAAACTATGCTATACCAGCTAAACCACTCTAGACTATTCCAAATCAATTGAAATGCGTTGAACCTGTCAAACCGTCTTTGAACCGTTAACTGCATTGATAATGAGTATTTTCAATATTTCTTTATAAATTTTTATTTTTTCTTATTTTTTCACCTAATTTTTATATATTTTTTATTTTTTGTACATTTTATTTTATTTTTGTGTGAATTTTATTAGGAAAATAAAATAAATTTGGAAAAATGTTAAGAAATAAGTTGAAATATTAATTTTCCTAAATTTTTTAAGAATAAAAATAAAATAAGATATATAAAAAATAAACTAAAGAAAGAGTTGAAATATTACTTTTTTCTTAGAATGAAATTTTGGAAAAATATTTAAGAAAAATTGATATTTATTTAGAAAAAAATTGAAATATGAATTTTTTTAAAAAAATTCCTCAATAATAAAAATAAATTAAATTAAACAAAATCAATTAAAGAAAAGATTAATATAAGCTTTGTCTTATAATAATTTTAAATTAATTTGTTTCCTAAAAGATAAAATTTTTAAATTTTCAAGTAATAGAATTTTTAGAAATTTGTAATAACAATTTCTATGTAAATTCATGAAAAGATATTATTTTTTGAATGCTATTAAAATATTAAAATATTTAAAAAATTGTCCAATATCAAGGATACTAATAACTTTTTTTTTTAAATCTAACGACATAGCCCCTTAAAAAATGTCAACAGATATCATGAATACTTTTGAAGTAAAAAAATATTTTTGAATTTCTACTTAAATATCAAAGTAATTTAAGAATATTTTTTAATATTAAATTCTTTAGAATTTTTTTTGAGAAATTTTGTCAAGCTTAATGGATAATATAAAATCAATTGGTACTGTTTTTGAACGGGCGTTATGGGGTGTTATAACCTTTCATATACGTAATCGTATTCTCAAACTCAATTTGATTCATAGACCAAAATATTTTCTTTAAATAAATCTTAATATTAATTAAGATTTATTTAAAGATGAGATTAGTGGCCAATGGCACCCTAATAAAAAAAATTAGTGAAGACTCTTTCCTTTTACATCTTTTGCTCGAATCCCTGAACATATATCTTATGACATGATGCAATGCAAATAACCTCCAACTATACTGTAGTTGTTTGTCAAATTGATGGCCAGTTCTGTTTAGGGGTGATAATGGTTTGGACCAAATTGAATTCGATTTGAATTTTTGGGTAATACATAGAATTATAAATTTTAAAAATCTAATCTAAATTCAAATTGAATTTCTATACTATCCGATCCGAACTAAATTCTACTAGTTCAATTCGATTTGGTTCATTGTTTTTTAAATTCAACCTTTTTTAGATACTATTTTTATATGATTTTCATATATTTAAATAGATTAAGGTATAAGATAATTATTTTTATTTTATAAAAATTTAAAAAATATATAAAAACTAATAAAAATATATAATTTAATTCAATTCATTTTTTTCAGTTTTTGAATTTTTTACTTTCTCATCCGAATATAATATTACCTTTAACATTGAAACTTAATTCAAATTGAATAAAAAAAAATCTAAACTAAACCAAACATTACGGTTTCAAATCGGTTTTTGATTTTCTTTTTTTTTTTCTCACTCCTAATTATGTTTGGAGATGAACTACACCTCAACTGTAAACAATCTGCCATCTAAAGGGGTCTAAGGTTATTAACAATAGCATTGTTATTTTTTATAATAGGTACTTATAGGGGTGAGAAAACAATCAACAAAACTTAAAATTTATTCAAAATCATAGTATTTGGTTCAGTTCAAATTGATTTTTTTTATTCAATTTAGATTAAGTTCAGATATTAAATATATATATTAAGTTCGGACTTGATTTTAAATTGAGAAGTGAAAATTAAAAAAAAAACTTGAACCTAATCAAATTATATATTTTTAATAGCATTATATATATTTTAAATTTTATAAAATAAAAATAATTATTTTATACCTATATC